TTTAAATTTGGTACAACAGTTGGACGGACAAGGCATAAATTTTGATGTACTATTTGAAATCTATTGGTGTTCAAAAACAAAACCAAGATAATTTCATGATGTATCATGATGAAATATTTCCAGATAGTAAAATATTAGGAAACAAAAACAAAACCAAGATAATTTCATGATGTATCATGATGAAATATTTCCAGATAGTAAAATATTAGGACTTACTCAAAGAGTATACATGAATGAACAAACAAAAAACCTCAACCACAAATAAGTGGCAGTTATACAACAAAAAGTAAAAAGCAATCAAAAAAATACATATATATTTCAGCCGTAGAAAATATTGTCTCACATTCTATTCCTAATTCAATTATTGATCCTTAATAGTTGTACTCATCTACAGGTGGTTATGAAGGGGACATACTTAGGCAACAGGCTATTTTAGTAACTTTTTGGCTTTTTGGCTAAAATATGAGATAAAAAAAACTAGTATGCTTGGGGTGACTTTTTGGCTTTTTACGAAAAGATGTGCAAAAAGTAGAGAGAAAATATAATCTTTGACTTTTTGGTATAGGTTATAGACTTTTTGGCTTTTTTAGTAACTTTTTGACTAAAATGTTAACTTGCCAAACGTGAAAATGAGAGAATGGAATTAGAACAAACTCTGTGGGATACCAGGCTTGGGGATTCAGATTTTCTGGAAAATTAACTCCAAATACTTCTTCACCCACTACTAATAATTCTCTCTTTAATTCATAACATATTATTCATTGTCATACTGACATTACATTACTTGTTTCTAAACCTCTTGACTCTAGGTGTTACTTTTTGCATCAAAGATGCAAGGTTAGGTTTCACATTTAAATATCTAAAACTTTTGATATAGATATGAATATGACAACAATGGAGGGGATGAGCAGAAAACTACTTGCCTAGCAGCTACTTCACGCAGATCAGTGTGCTTTACAGACATACGGAAATGCCCGAATCTTTTGGGATAGCATTTGGTCTTAGGATTTACTCACCTTGCACTATTTTCTTTTCTTTTTTCTTAAAATTTTTTGAATTTTCCCTTTTTCCTTAATAGTGAATCATGTTTTTTTTACTTCATGACTTGCATCTCAATGTGAAGTGACAAACCTTTTGGTTGTAGACTATAATAGAATAACCAATTTTGCCAAAGTACATTTGATTTGATCAAAGGTAAGAGTGGCCTTTTGGGTTAAGGTTAATTTGGAGATCATGAACAACTGGTTTTGTGATGCTGCTCTGTTTTGGGGTGTAGTTGAGAAGTTGTGTTGTTGTTTTTTTTTATTTATAATTTAATTTAATTTATTTTGTTTTATGATGTTGGACTTTAGTGCTCCACATATTTTGGTTGCTATGTGCGCATTTCAAGCGGGATGACTTGCTGATGGAAAAGGTTTTCTCATGCATAGAGGAATAGATGGTTGCTTGATTGAAGAGTTTGTTGCTAAATTATGTTGCGGCTTTCAGATTTATCAATTTGAGGAATGTTAAAATGGAGATTTAATTTTAGGCTGGGGTTCACTTTGTATTCTTGTAATGTTTATGTTGTTGTTTGTCCGAGTAAATCATGTTTTCCCCCTTTTGGATTTAATGCTTAATAGTAGTGTTCTTTTCACCTCGTGTCAGACCGTTGTAGAAGACAGTTTATGGGGTCATGTCGGACCGTTGTAGCAGGACAGTTTACGGGGTCATGTCGGACCGATGTAGAAAATTGTGGTGGTGCACCAAGGGGGTGACTTAGGGAGTGCGCTATGAGCGACTTATACATGATACTGTGTATAACCCCCCCTCAAACTCAAATAGGTGTAAAAATAGAAACCTATTTGAGGTTGAAACAAAAGGATTGATAAAGCTGACCGGTGTAGAAGACACTGTATGAGTGTGTAGATAGGCTGCCCAAAAAATATACATGTAGATATATATCGAGCCCTCAAAAGTCGTGCCCTCAAAAGGTGTGCCCAATCTGTCAAAAGTATGTATAAGGATGCGCGAGCAGAGATAAGTGTGCTAAAGGCGGAAAACAAGGAGCTGAAACGGAAGGACACCGGGCGTCTCCGATTTGGAGGGCCGCCATATGCTGTAGTGGAGGAGCAGGGAGGAGTGATCGTGCCCAGTGGAGTGGGAAACACGGAGGCAGCATCGGCAAGGGCCGCCCAGGACGGAGGCAAGAAGAAAAGACCGGCGGAAGAGGCGAAGAAGTTAAGTTGGAATATGGGTTCAACAGTGATGGCCCTCTTGCTCTTCCATGCAACGTTGATCAGTTCTACAAGGCTGGAGCCTGGTGAGAGTGGCCTGCTGGTGGGCGACGATGAAGGGAGCGTCTGAGACGAAGAGACGAAGAACAAAGCTAGCAGCACAGAGAGCAGACAGTGCGCGATCTGAATCGTCATCGTTGAATGCTTCTCAGGTCCAGATTTTATTGGATCCACAGGACAGGAGGAGGAGGAGAGACTCAAGCAAAGAGTGAGAGCAGTGCGTGAGAGCTACAGATCATGGTCGGCGGTGGTGGTGGATTTGCATCAGCCGCAGTTATCGGCGATGTCGCCGTTGGTGACGCTGTTGGGTGGGTTCACTGGAGGCATCGGAATTTTTGGCTCCGTTTCTGCTATTTATGGCACATAGGGTCTGAAATGAACGGCGTTTCAAGGACCGTGATGAAGACGAAGAAGGAACTGAAGTAGCCATCGGAGCTCGCAGTGAGGTCGCCATCTTTTCTGAAGAGAGAGATGACAGATTCGATAGATCTAGATTTGGATCTGGATGTGTATCGTCGGTGCCATACATCATCATGTTGGAGCGATGGTGGCGACTGAGGATGTGCAGATCAACAGAGGAGGAAGGCCGATGACCATGGAGGATTTACTCACCTTGCACTATTTTCTTTTCTTTTTTCTTAAAATTTTTTGAATTTTCCCTTTTTCCTTAATAGTGAATCATGTTTTTTTTACTTCATGACTTGCATCTCAATGTGAAGTGACAAACCTTTTGGTTGTAGACTGTAAAATTGATGTATGTATTATTGATTGATGTATATTGTGTGTTGTGTGTTACAAATGGTATGATGGGTTCCTTATATAGATGTAGGTGTAGTGGAGTAGGTGGTGGTAGGTGAGGAGTAGGTGAGTGTAGTAGGTGAGTGTGTGGTAGGTGACGGTAAGTGTGTGGTAACCAATTTTGCCAAAGTACATTTGATTTGATCAAAGGTAAGAGTGGCCTTTTGGGTTAAGGTTAATTTGGAGATCATGAATAACTTGTTTTGTGATGCTGCTCTGTTTTTGGGGTGTAGTTGAGAAGTTGTGTTGTTGTTTGTTTTATTTATAATTTATTTTGTTTTATGCTGTTGGACTTTAATGCTCCACATATTTTGGTTGCTATGTGCGCATTTCAAGCGGGATGACTTGCTGATGGAAAAGGTTTTCTCATGCATAGAGGAATAGATGGTTGCTTGATTGAAGAGTTTGTTGCTAGATGATGTTGCAGCTTTTGGATTTATCAATTTGAGGAATGTTACAAATCAATATACACAACAATCTTACATCAATTTGATTTATCATGGTATCATGTTGCGGCTTTCAGATTTATCAATTTGAGGAATGTTAAAATGGAGATTTAATTTTAGGCTGGGGTTCACTTTGTATTCTTCTAATGTTTATGTTGTTTGTCAGAGTAAATCATGTTTTCCCCCTTTTGGATTTAATGCTTAATAGTAGTGTTCTTTTCACCTTTGTTTTGTGAAATATTATTACCTTACTGCTGGGGAAAAAAAAAAATCATGAAAATGAACTACTTACAATTGTCATGGCTAATTCTAATTTCAAGCTCAAATAATTGGTTGAAATTCATCTACGACTTGATGATTATGCAGTGACTTGGACCATGGGCACGGGTCATCATGCAACGCATGACTCCCTGTAACTAGTATATATAAACCAATGTTGATAACAACTTTATGGCAACGTCCTTCAACTGCTCTGTCTTGTAAAGAAATAGGAGAAAAAGATTGTTTACTAAACTAATTGACCATCAATTAGAGGGTGTGTGGAGGTATCCTATCCTTTTGATCACACGTCATATGAAGCAAGCTTTGAAGGGTCTGTGAAATATACTCGGCGACAAACTCAACATGAAATTGAATTCCTAACCAGACCAAACTCAGACCTTTTGCATTTGCTTTGATCCTATATGTTACTATTTTCCATAGCATAAACAAGTTGTACTTGGTATTCTTAAAAGTCTTTGTACAACTCAAGTTTTTAGCCAATCTTCTTACTGGCATAGCATTACATGTTTCTCTTTGTATGTCCCTGTAGCAAATTATGATCTCAAATGCTTGCTGGAGATCTTTCTCTCTTATTTTTTATGAGTAAGAGTTACTGAGTATTATGTAAGCATTTTCTTTTATGAATTTATTGTCAGTTTGATAATTAAATTGGTGATGGAAGCTTTTTATGTCCTCTGTGGGGTTGATGGAAACAAATTTTCTGCCCTACTTATACTGTGTTTGGATAATAGATTTAAACAATGATTTGGAAAAGAAAAGAGAATGTGAGGTTGAAACATTGTGGATGAAATATAAATTAAAAGTTTCTTTCATTTCTCCTCCTTTTCAAATCTCAATTTTGTGATCCAAACACAATACTTGAAAAGGTCAGGCTTTAATACTTGTCATACATACCATATGTAGGTTATAATCAATTTTGGTATTGGTTTTAAACTATTGCAGTGATAGGTTATGGGGTATTATGGTGGTGGAGCAAGCAAATTATTGAAATAAAATTGGTTAGGACTTGTTATGGTGTTTGATTATATTTTGAAGTAATGTTAGTTGTAATTTATTAAAATCTAAAATTTTTAATTTTGTCAATTTAAACTTTAAACTTTTTATTTGTTTTGAATTTAAATCATCTGAAGAATGTTCATTTATTCAATTTATCAGTTCTGGCTCTTTATATATCTGGGCTAAATAATTCCATTTGCAGATCCGAAGTCATGCCCAAAAATACTTTTGAAGGTCCAAAAAAATGGGACTATAGCACATGTGCCACCACCTTTACCTAAGCGCAAAGCTGCTCATCCTTACCTGCAAAAGGCACCAAAAAATGGTTTGTCCCATGATGACGATGAAAGTACATATGGCAGGGGATTTTATTTGAATTTTTGTTATTCTAACATGCTATTTCTTTTAAAAATTGGCAGTTTTAGCACCATTGCAAGCTTTCATGGCTTATCCTTCTTCGTTGAATTCCCGTGCACCTTGATATTCTCCATAGGATGACACTTCCATGCTCATACACTCTCCATCAGGTGGAATCATGCTATCCCAGGATGAATACAATCTTCATGGAGTTGAAGGCATGCATAAGTTTTTTTATGTGTTATTTCTCCCTCGTTCATAGATATATGTATATTTTTTATTTGAGAGAACTGTCTTGTGCTTATTATTGGCATAAAATGTTACTGCTTCAGCTGATATTGGATCGAAGGGGGTAGCAAGGATTAGTAACAGCGGCATTGATGGCATCGGAAGCTTGTGTAGAACAATATCAAGTTCTGAATTATCGAAGCAGGGGAAACCAGGTTCATTGTTTCATGGTAATCTTCTCAACTGTATTGATAATTGGTTTAAATTAGTCGATCGTGGTGAAGTTTCAGACTTGCAGCTCTATGCTAAAGTGGCACAACTTGCTCTCTTCACAATGTTTTTATATTTATATTTGCGCTTTAGATACTTGTTATCTAATTTGTTTGTTAGTGCTCTCCTATCTTACTTGCCCTATTTGTATTGATGTACTTGTAGTGCAACATGTGTCATAGGGAACTTTTTTGTTTTTCAGTTCCTAAGATTTGGCAATACTGGAAAATGTTACTCTGAAAGAATTTTCCATGGTGATAACATACTGGTTTTGGATTGTTTCTCTTTGGTTTATTGGGGTAGTTTGATCTGTGAGTTTTTATCAGTATTGAGTCCACTTAATTATATTGCTCATTCATATATCAATTATGAATTTCTCCTTCTTCCTCACCCTACTATGTTACATGGACATGGGTGCAGGTGCATCCACTTTTTGAAAATATCCATTATTTTTTAGTATTAGCAAGCATGCCCATAAAACTCATGAATAAAATAACTCATTTGTTATTCCTCTCATACAATTGTGCTTTTCAGTTAAATTATTTTTAGGTATACCTTAGGTATACCAGATTTTGCTGAAGTCTATAGCTTCATGGGAAGTGTCTTTGATCCAGACACACAAGGCCATGTGCAGAAGCTCAAGGAGATGGATCCTATCAACTTTGAAACTGTGACTAAATTCAGATTTCGCCAGTCTCGATTGTCTATTTTTCAAGCAGATGATGCCTCTTATTCATAGGATGTGTGTTTGTGGTTGATAAAATGACATAGCTAATAAATCATCTATAAGGACAGGGTATAAAAGAGGACCTGATTGATGGTTTTGGATGAAATGGGCATATGCACTATGGAGTATTGTTGTTGTACCTCATGTTAAATGAGGTGAAATATTTTTTAAACTAGTAGCAATGCTGTGACATAGGTTTTTGGGCAGTAAAGAAAGAGCTTGAAGAAAATGGTGTTGCTAAAATGAGAAATGGTAGTTATCACTTGTAGCAGATGGAGAAAAAATGTGTTCAAGCATCTAATATGATTTGCATTTTACCAAGTGAAACAAAACCAATGGCTGCCCATACAGTGTTGACTTAATTCAAGGTGAAGGTATTGTTAGAAGAAAAGGAAGGCTGACAATAATTTAGATTGGAGATATGAAGCATGGACACCTCTCTGGAGATGATCTATAGGTGTCGGACATGGACACACACAGGACATGTTCCAAACACATATTGGACATGCTGAGATGCTTGGGACACGCTATGGATACGTTGCAACACGCTAAGGACACGTTGGGGACCATTTTTTTCAAAAAAAAATTAAATTATATATATTTTTACTAAAATAGCATACTTAAGGTTGATAGATTTGATAAAATTAAATATTTGACATAAAATTAATATTAAATATTTAAAATACGACATGTAATAAATATATAAAATTATATATTTTGCACGTGTTCCCAACATGCCGTTTCCTGCATTTTTCGAAAATTTACGTGTCTGTGTCAGTGCTTTTTAGGGTTGGAGGCAATAGAGAAGGCATGTCAATGTATGATTTATTTGAGGGATCCTCTAATATATGTTCAATGTTACACTTGCATTTAAAGATATGGGATAACAAATCTTGAATAATTGGTTGATGCTTTTGGATTTTCAAGGCACACAAGTCACTAAAGTAGAATAATAAAAACCGAAAAACTAGAAAAAGCTTTTGATGTTTGTAAAATTTCATACTTTTAACAATAAGTATAATGACTTCATAATTTATAAAGGCATCAACAATATTATGTAGCACTACACAATCTCTGGATTGATAGTTGGCTCGGCCTTGTTCTCTCTCTTTTTAGTCCTCTCCGCATTGGATACAGCATCCCCTGATGGATATTGTATAAAAAGATAATGCATTAAATCCTTGTTCTAGCCCTTAGAGGTTCTTATATAAGGTGGACCTCTATAAGAGCTTTAGCTGAATGGTAATTGCTGGTTTGTAATACCTTGCCATTCTTATAGTTTGATGGCGTCTCCTCCTGTTAGTCATCACAATAGTATTTTGGACAGCCCAATGGGATTCTGTATACTTCTTTTACATTCTCACCAAAAAACCAATATTTAATGGAGACATAGAAGAAAGCTATGAAGCACGTACACCTCCCCGAGGCCTGTGTATGAGTGTCGGACACGGACATGTGTTGGACACGCTATGGACACGTGTCCAACACTCTCCCCTATGTGTCCCCCTTTTTTTTGAAATTTTTCCCGTCAGACATGCGATGACACGTTTCAGACACGCATGAGATGAATCGAAGAATCCCTAAACCTGTTGGAGAGGAGAGAGAGAGAGTCAGATTGAGAGAAAGAGAGATAGATCGAGGTTAGAGATCAAAGAAATCCTAACCTATTTCGCGACTTGGTCTTCTCTGTTCTTCTTCTTCTCCTCTTTGTCTTCTTCTTTGTTCTTCTCTTCATCTTTTGTCTTCTTCTTATGTTTGTTTTCTTCTCGTCCTCCTCCCTCTTCTAATTCTGTGTCTCTCCCCTCTTTCATTTTTCTTTTCTTTTTTTTTTCTTTTTCTCTCCCCTCTTTCGTTTTTCTTTTTCCTTTTTTTTCCTCTCCCCTCCCTTTTTTTTTGATGTCTATTTCCCTTCCTTTATTTTCTTTTTATAGGAACCAATGTTTTTTTTTTTTAATTTTAGATATATAATATATAAATAAAATTATATATATTAAACGTGTCCCCAGCCTGTTGTGTCTCCCATTTTTTGAAAATTTGCATGTCCGAGTGTCCGTGTCATGTCCTGTCCCATGTCCGTGTCCGTGCATCATAGGAAGAAAGTGTGTTTGGTTAGTTTTTGATAACTTTTTTGAGTTTTCATTTTTCTAGTTGTCTTTAGTAAACTTTTTCATATTTGACTAAAAATCTTAATTGAAGACCAAAAGAGGAGGGGGGGGGTGTGTTAATTACACTTTACCTCCTTGTGGTTTAGCTTGGAAACACATTACCTCCCTATGGTTTTTGAAATATACTGTAAGAATTTATGTATTATTGATTGATGAATTGATTGATATATTCTGTCTATTACAAATGGTTCCTTATATAGATGTAGGTGTAGTGGATGGTGGTAGTGGTGTAGTGGGTTAGGTTTAGTGGAGTAGGTGAGGTGGTAGTGGTGTAGTGGGTTAGGTTTAGTGGAGTAGGTGAGGTGGTAGTGGTGGTAGGTGATGGTAAATTCTAACATATACATATAACCTCCTTGCAGTTCAGAGTAAAATGCAAGAGTAACAAATTCTGTCAAACTTAACTGTTTGTGTAACATGCACTAAATTAAGTGCATGTGACAGGACATGAGTGATATACGAGCTTTTGCCCCATTATTTTCCCTTCTTTTCTTCATTTTCTTGTTCCTTCCACCTCCTCCCCTTCACTGTTGCACAGTTCACGCTCCATCTCCTCTCTTTCTTCTCCTAGTCTCCCTCACTTCCTCCAACAACCCAAGCCCACCATTGCTGAAACCATCATTTTTCCTTGTCATTGCACACACGTGTACAGAGGCACTTACACACAACTCCCACCTTTCTCAATCAAGTAACCCAAAGGAGCCAATACTTTTTTCAATTGCACATGTACCTTCACACACTTGTGAAGATAACTTTCTCTTTGACAATGACGTGCAGATAAAAGCTAAGCTTTTTTTTTTTTCAATAATTTTTTTTAGAATGTTAACTAAACACACAGGAGCATCTTTCAATGCGGCAGCTGTTGTTTATTTGTAAAGTTAGAGATTCAAAACCATCAAATCCAAAATTGTACCATTTGGAGAAGTTAATGGAAATGCCATAAGTGCCTATATGGATTATTTCTTAAGGGAAAGAACAAGATGGGTGTGGGTTTTTGATGCTGTATAATTTTGAGAGAGAGAGAGAGTTTGTAGTGACGTTGGCATTTATAAGAAAATTGGAGGAAAAAAAAAGGGCAGTATAGACATTTTGTAAAATTTCTTTAACGGAGTTTAGCTTTGCATTTTACCTTAGATGATAAGGAGGTTAAGTGTATATCTTTAAATTTCAAGGAACTAATGTGTTTTTTTGGCTAAACAAGGAGGTAAAATGTAATTAACCCAAAAAAGGAAAGGGAAAAAAAAAATAGCAAAAATGCGGTGGTTTTTATTTGATCTTTAATGAACTTTTTTTTAGAAATATTTTACTTTTAGGTGCATCTAGATTAAGCGTATCTAATAAGTTAAAATAATTGATGAAAATATTTTAAAAATGACAAAAAAACAAAAAGCAAAAAACTCAAAAAACAGTTTTTTTAATTTAAAAACCAAACAGGCAAATGATTCTTAGCAATGGCAGGTACTCATGCACTCTCTATTGCTCGCATTTGCACAGTGGCCCCTTTGATCTCTGGCATGAAACCTTAAGCTTCTTGTCTATGGATGATTTTCCTTGTATTTGTTAGTTACATGATTAAGTGTTTTGACATCAGTTGGGTCAATGTGGATTTTATTAATGTCATTCAATTGGAAGGATATTGCTTTGCAACTGAACATCTTTGTCCTTTTGGGTTCTGTCTACGTACAGGCTTTGTTGCCGATGAGGAACCTCACCATCAACTTGTCTAGCCCTGATTTTGAGCCAATTGTAAGTATTCTTCTGCTTCAATGATATGGTGAAATGCTTCATGTGACAACTCTTGCAATACTGTTACTGTTTAATATTTTGCTTGTCACTCTTCTAAAAAGTTCTAGCTTGCTGTGACCGTGTATTTCTTAAGTAGAGTTATTTTCATTGACTGTTTCAGAGAGAGGTCCTGTCATCATATGATGTCAATTCCAAAACTGTAGGAATTGCTACAGGAAATGTCATGAAGAACCAAGAAAAATGAGCTTTTGTGTTGTAGTGTTGAGCACCACGTATAAGCTGCCATGTAGTATGTATCTTTCTTTAATCCCCTCAACAAGTAAGATCTCCAATTTGTGGTTACTGGGTTGACATCTGACTTGAATATCTGTGTTTCTTCATCAGCATTATAGATGAGAAGTCTGACAGTGCTCTCGCAGCATGCTCTGAAATTCACTAGTTCAAGGATATATAAATGCCACTACAGCTATAGAATCGGAGAGCATTGCCCGATGAAAGGATAACATCCTCTGATTTTCTTGCCTTAAATGATAGATGAGGAACCTCACCATCAACTTGTCTAGCCCTGATTTTGAGCCAATTGTAAGTATTCTTCTGCTTCAATGATATGGTGAAATGCTTCATGTGACAACTCTTGCAATACTGTTAATGTTTAATATTTTGCTTGTCACTCTTCTAAAAAGTTCTAGCTTGCTGTGACCGTGTATTTCTTAAGTAAAGTTATTTTCATTGACTGTTTCAGAGAGAGGTCCTGTCGTCATATGATGTCAATTCCAAAACTGTAGGAATTGCTACAGGAAATGTCATGAAGAACCAAGAAAAATGAGCTTTTGTGTTGTAGTGTTGAGCACCACGTATAAGCTGCCATGTAGTATGTATCTTTCTTTTATCCCCTCAACAAGTAAGATCTCCAATTTGTGGTTACTGGGTTGACATCTGACTTGAATATCTGTGTTTCTTCATCAGCATTATAGATGAGAAGTCTGACAGTGCTCTCACGGCATGCTCCGAAATTCACTAGTTCAAGGATATAGAAATGTCGCTACAGCTGTAGAATCGGAGAGTATTGCCAGATGAAAGGATAACATCCTCTGATTTTCATGCCTTTAATGATATAAATATCCAAAGGCTGAATGGCAATGTTTTGTACCTGTTTTACTGATCTGGGTCTGTTAGCAGATTGTATGTATGTCTCATGATCTGTCGGTGGCAATTTTAGCTGTCTTGAAAATATAATGTCAGTCTCAGTTTTGTGTAGTACAATTTGCCAAGGCAATGTAACTTTAAGAATCGGGGTTGTAATAATGATGGTTTTGCTTTCTTGATCTTTAAGCGCATGGTTTTGTTGTTGTTGTTATATGTGAGGGCCACCTTCGACTTCTTGATTTTCTTGCTGGTTATACTGCATCATAAAAGACAAATTAATGATGACTTTCTAGTATGTTTGGATCCTGGAAAATCTTCCTTCAGCCAGAATTAAACTTAAGGAAATCTCGGTTTTATTGCAAAGTATGTTGATCGCTTCTACTGGAAATCTAAATTTGATAGAATTGTGCTGATTTATTAGTATTTGTTGATAGTAAGTGAGGTTGTGCAGTGTGCACTGGGAGAAATTTCTCCAGTTGTAATGTTTGTACTTCGTGTAGTATGTAATTCATTTTTGTATTTCTAGTTGATTGATATTCCTGAGAAGTAATAGGATAATGGCCATAGAATTGTGGATGAAGTTTGGGATTTTGTGATTCTTAATTTTTCCTCCCCCTCCTCCCCTCTCTCTCTCTCTCTCTCTCTCTAAAGGACGGATAGAATTGCATGGTGGCCAAAGCTATGCAAGTCTCCAGCAAGGGATTAAGTTCTTTACTAATCCCCTATAAATCATGAATTTGCTGTTAGGAACTGAACTGGATGTCTAGTCCGGGTTTCAAATGTGTGCCACTTTGGTATTTTTATTCAATGGTTTAGAATTTATCCACCTACTTGCAAACTCAATTTGATCCGTTATTTAATGGGTTAATAGGTAAGTAAAATTTAAATCATTATTTTATGAAGGGTGTTACTATCAGCATCTCATTTTTTTCCTTTTAGATCCCAATTTCTTTCATTTTTTTGTTACAAATTTAACCCAATACAAAATTTCAATTTTATTCCTATCATTTCTAACCTCCGAAAAACATATCCAAATCCTAACCCTAACCCTACTCTCACTCCCATTGTACCAAACGAGTCACTACCAACTCGGACACACTTTCTCTTACCATTTACAACATCGGCGATCCATCTCTACCTTCTTCCTGCTTTCATGGCCCAATAATGGCAACGACTGCTCACTCCAGTTGCCTCTTCTCCGTCTTAGCTACCATTTTGATTTTTTCTTTAATATTCTTTTTGAATTATTTATAGATATTATGTGTAAGTATATAAAATATAAATATTTTGTAATAAATAATTTCATGTTAAATAAAAAATTAAATATAAATTAATATTAAGATATCAATAAGATAGACAAAAATTAAAAAATACAAAAAAAAATTAATTTGATCCATGTGATGTACATAATTAAGCACATTTTGTCTTTTTTGTTTAAAGTGTATGCGTGTGTCTAAAGGCACAGTGTAAATAAAATAAGGAAATAAAAAGGAGAAAATAAAAAAATAAAAATAAAAAAGAAAGAGGGAGGGAGTAAGGTGGGCAGGAGAGAGAATGCATAAAAGGGGAGGAAAAGAAGGTGGGCATGTGAGAATTAAAGAAATCTTGACCCTAAGAAGAATTTGGGAATTAATTTCTGCCCATTGATACAAAATGTAACTTAGACATTTTGACACATTTTCAAAAATAGTCCTGCTTTATTATATAGATTTATTTGTATGTCGAGCTAATATTTTTTTTTTTCATATCATAATAATTAAATTATAATATTATGTATATAAAAAAAATAAGTATTTCTCATATATAATCCATATAAAATTGGTTATTATAATTTAAATTGAGTTTGTGTAGAAAATAAAAAAGACATGCTGATGTCACTTTTTTTTTATTAAAAAAAGTCTATATAATGTAAAAAAATAAGCCTTTAGAAATTTGTCACATAAGAGAAAAAACACTACTTTATTATATCTATACTATATATATAACCAAATGTAGTTGTTAGGTCAAAAGACTTCAAAACTTGAATCCTAAATCCTCATAATTTTGGAAAAATAAAATAAATAGGTGGCACATCTCTTTATCCATCTTCTCACTATTCAAGTATTCTCACTAGAAATAATTTTTAATTTTTTTTAAAAATAATATTTATATTTTAGTAAAACACCAATAAATCTCAAATATGATCTTGTAAATTATTTAGTCCTCCTTTTTTTTCTTCTCATGAACCCAAAGGTCCCATTAAAATAGAAATTACACAAAAAGAGTAGTCACTTACACGTTTGGGTTTAATTTTTGAGGGATAAAAATGAGTTTATCTAAATGTGAAATTATACATTTGGGCAATATTCTAGAACAAATCTCACATTACGAATAAGAACATAACACTTCAACGTAACACTCCAATAACGTAACTTTAATGCAACACACTAAAAATTTCGAAGGCCCTGTTTCAGAACATGTTTTTTTAGTAATTTTTTAATTTTTTGGCTAAAATATGATGTAGAAAAAATTAGTCTAGGGTCCCCCTCCCACTTTTCGTAATGGAAGAGATCCACAAAATTATTTTTGGATGTCTAAGGTCCCTAAACATATCACAGAGAAATTTGACCTTACCAAATCAAAACTCATCTTTCTCTCTCTCTCTCTCTAAACTTCTCGATTCTCAGACTCTGACATCCATTTGTACCTCTGCGCCTGAACTCCTCCGATCAAAGACTCCGACATCGAGGATCGATTCGGTATCTGAGACAACCGATGATGATTCAACGTTGATGCTGAAGATACCCAAGATGTTGACGATGTGACTATCATTTCTCTGAGCCTGGTCTTCCATCTCCATATTCCGAACCCGGACATCCTCCGAAAAATCAATTTACTAACATTCACATACACACCAGAAGAGAGGTCATAGCCTATCATCAGGTTCTACTTCTCCAAGAACTCCTCTGAGTTTGGTACCCGACAGCTATTGGGAAGAAAAGTAGAGAGATCTGCACAAGGTAGAATAACTTAAGCAAATTAGTTTAGAAAAACAAGTGCCTAACCAAAAAAAAGGTTGGTCGAAAAAAGTGAGAGTGAGTCTATCTAGAACTGAATCTGACCCGTTCCCATCAAAGGTTGACAGTAGTAAAAAAGAACCCGAACCATCCGTGAGAAGAAGTTTGCTGGAGGATTTGTCCAGGCAGCTTGGATTGGAGGAAGATTCAGCAAAAATAGTATGTAATGAAGATTTGGGTCTACCAGACAAATTCTCTGGTTTTTAAACTGAATTTTCGCTTCTGCAACTTGTCTTCTTGTCTTGGCTTTTTTCCAAACTTACTACACTATCGTCTTCTCAACCAAACCATAAATAAAGTAAGACCATTTGTTTTCCTGAGTGCTATTTGCTTTCATGTCTCCAGGTTAGTTGGGTCTCTTCTATTTGTTCTCTAGGTATCAACATTTGTTTAACACCTCTCTTTCTTTCTCTATTTAATGTGTTTGTGTGTGCATTGCTTTTCTTTGGTTTGGAGTCTAGAGAAATTCTAGAAATTTCTTGGGAGAAAAACTAAAGAAATTTGCAAATCAGAGAAATATGAAGAGAATTGGACTAGAGAAATTCAAAATTTCTCTGGACTCAGCCAATGCATTAGAGAAATATTGAGAAATTTTAGGAAGAATTGGGCCAGAGAAATTCTAAGAATAATTGGACCAGAGAAATTCTGAGAAATTCAGAATTTCTCTGAATCAATTTTCTCTGGACTGAAATTTCTCTGGATCAAGGTTGAGAGACCTTAGACAATATGAAAATATTGTTGAGGGACCTTAGACATTATGAGAATATTGAATGTTCTTTATGCTATAAAATCTTAATATCAGAGACCTTAAAAAAAGTGACTTTTTAGGTGTATTAGCTTATGGCCAAACGTGTGGTGTGTATACTTGTATAAATCTGTGTGTAGTATGCTCAGCATCTCCATTGGAGATGCCCCAAGGATCCTAATAATGAGCCAAGGCCAGTAGTATTGCCCTAACTAGGAATGGTGTAGGAATAAAACACCACAAATCCAATCCCACTCTACTTCATTGCTATTCCTACTTTTGTTCTAAAATTTTGCCCTATATTCCCAATACATTTCCAAACACAAGATTATGTCTCAAGATTTCAGTATTTCAAAATTCCACTACATCTTGTGGCTAAGAGTGTATTGAAAAAGAGGAAAATAAGGATATTATATGATAAACAAAAAAGGAGTGAACAGAGATACAGAAAAAGTGAACTGAGATACAAAAAATCGTAAACTATATCCTACGAATAACAAAATTTGTAACTTTTCAATGCCCTAGATTCAGCAATCCCTAATTTCAAAATTTAAAATCCCTAATTTGAAATGAAAACCCTAATTTATGCGATACAACCTGAATGTGGGTGTTTGATGAAGGTGTTCCTCGTTTTCTCGGTGGTGTACTGTTGGCTGTTGTTCGTTGCTTCCTCTTCGTCGTCGGTCTTCCCTTCGGAGTTCGGCTAAGTGAGGGAGAAGAAGATGGGCTGGAAAAGAAGAAACGGCTTTCGTAAAGGGAGAAGAAGAAAAAGATGGGTTTTGTTTAAAATGAAACGGCTTTTCGAAAATCGTTTTCTATTTATGATAAAAATATTATTTTAGGCAAACAATATTTCTAAATTGAAAAAAAAAATTAATAAAATAAAAACGGTTTTACAAAAACCGTTTTCTATTTATTTTCAAATTAATATTTTAGGCAAACAATATTTATAAATTGAAAAAAAATAAAAACGATTTTACAAAAATCCTTTTATATAAACTTAAAATTAATGAAGTGTTAAGTAAAAACGATTTTACAAAAATCATTTTTATAAAGAAAAATTTTATTAATTTTTTATTCATAAAAAACGGCTTTACCAATGTTTTAATGAAAACGAGTTCAGCCTTTAGTGGGAATAAAGTAGAAAACACGTCCTAGACTCAGACTAAAATATTCAACAACAATGTTAGAGGATTATAATTTTTGTGGCCACAATGACTCAAAATTATCAAAACGACGCCATTTTAACATATTTTACACCCAAAATAATATCATTTTAACAATTTTAAGTCAAATTGTGATCCTCAAACATTTTTCAATATTCAAAATGCAACAATGAGGGAAATTGGCCCACAGTTCAGTATCTACTGCTCTCTCTCTCTCCTCGCACACGCACAGAGTGAGCTTGAAGAATATGTCAAGCAGAAGAGGAAGAATTTCTATCTCTTCCATTATTGGACCAAGAATAGCTTACTGCAATAATTGGCTTTTAGAAGGTACTTCCAAATCGAAATCGAAATTTGTTAAGGTTAATCAACCCTCTTGTTTCTTATTTGTTCTGTTTCGTTCTCTCTCTAACACCACCAAAAACCCTACTTCTCCTCCTCAAGGACGCGAACCTAAACCTGAAGCCTTACCCAAACAACCATGCAATTTGGGTCCCAATCATCTTCATTCTGCTTTAATTTCCTTCAATCGCATGCTCCGAATGCGACCTTTGCCCCCAATTTCTCAATTCAACAAAGCTTTAGGCTCTATTTTGAAAATGGGTCATTACGCCACTGCTCTTTCTCTTATTCATAACAAGTTGCAACAGTTCCAAGGCATTCAGGTCAATATCTGCACCTTCAGCATTGCTATTAACTGTTACTGCCACCTTGATCGAGTCGATTTTGGGTTGTCTCTTCTGGGTACCCTCTTCAAACGCGGTTATACACCTGATGTAACTACCTTCACAACTCTGATTAATGGACTTATTTTGCAAGATAAAACTCCTCTAGCTGTGGAGTTATTTAAGAAATTAATGAGAACTAGAGAAATTGAACCCGACGTAGTTATGTATGGAACCATTGTCAATGGGCTCTGCAGAACGGGGAACACTGTCAGGGCTGTTAGTTTGCTTAGGATAATGGAAGAGGGAAGTTGTAAACCTAACACCGTAGTGTATAGCACGATCATTGACAGTCTTTGCAAGGATAGAATGGTGGATGAAGCTCTCAAACTCTTTTCTACGATGGTTGAAAAGGGTATTTTTCCAAATGTTGTCACTCATACTTCTTTGATTCATGGCCTATATAATTTTGGCCGGTGGAAGGAGGCTACTGGAATGTTTAGAGAAATGTTGGATAGTGGTATTGCTCCGGATGTTCATATGTATAGTGTTTTGCTGGCTGCATGTACCAAGGAAGGGAAGATGAAAGAGGCAGAGGGGGTACTTGAAGTCATGATACAAAGAAATGTAGATCCTAATGTAGTCACATACAATGCTTTAATGGATGGATATTGTTTGCAAGGCCAAATGGATGAAGCAATTAGAGTGTTCAATACCATGGTGGATAGGGGCCTTCACCCCAATGTTTTTAGCTATAACATTCTAATCAATAGATATTGCAAGAAAATGAAAATAGATGAGGCCATGCATCTCTTTCGAGAATTGCCTCAAAGGGGGTTAAAACCCGACAATGGAACTTTCAGTGCTATGTTACGGGGTTTGTTTCAAACAGGTAGATGTGGAGCTGCTCAAAAACTTTTTAATGATATGCAAGCTGCAGGCATAAATCCAGATTCTCAAACTTATGGTATCGTGTTGGATGGGCTATGCAAAAACGGGCATATTTCTAAAGCATTGTCATTATTCCACATGATGGAAAGCAACAATTTACATCTTGATATTGTTAAGTACAATATTCTTATTGATGCATTCTGCAAGGATAAAAAGCTTGATACTGCAAGGGCCCTTTTCAGTAACCTTTCTTCCAAGGGATTACAACCTGATGTTAAGACATACAATACGATGATACAAGGTCTTTGTGAAGAAGGCCTACTGCATGAAGCCAAAGAGTTGTTTGTTAAAATGGTACCGAATGGTTGTTTGCCAAATGATGTAACTTACAACACTATTATCCGAGGATTTATTGGACAACACAAGTGCTATGAGGCATTAATACTGGTTGAGGAAATGGTTCAAAGTGGTTTTTCAGCAGATGCATCCAATTCTTCCTTTGTCATAAATATAATCTCAACTAAAGGACAAGATCCTGCTCTCCAGGAAGTGATACAGAAGTTTATGCCCAAAGATAGTCATGGAATGCAAGAGATTGAGTGAAGTGCTTAAGCTGTGAAGGTAAATCTACATTATACTAAACGTGTAGCCTTTTATGCTTATAAAATTTTTGTCATTTGGTGAAACTCTTTTAAATATGTGCATGGATGTTGCGTCTTGCCTGTACCGGTATGTACTACACTAGTGACAAATGCAGTGCACTAAGTGGTACAATATTAACGACATTTGTTATGTTTTATTACACCTCTTCTCTTACACTAGGATGAAATTATTGGTAAAAATTAAATGGGTTGAGACTGATCTCTATGGAAAGAAGATTGGTCATGGAATTGTTTCTTGTGTAATTCCTACAGTGCTATATTAGTTGCTCTTTGCATGAAATAGAAGACAGAGCCATTGTCTTGTTTCAATAAATGACTCAAAGTTACATAAAGTCTGGCTTCTACTAGCTTTTGAATTCTTTTTGCAATGTGCAAATCAGAAAACCCAGCTTGAGAACCATTTAACCTAAATTACTTTAGTTCTATAACATGGATACATTTTTGCTAGTCACCATTTTCATAGTTTTATCTTTCATTCTTTTCATACATCACTGTTTTTTAATGGAATGCAGATTAAGATGGATTAAGATAACTTAGTGAGCCCCTTTTGCAAGTGTATTTTTAAAATGTTTGGCTAGGTTTTTAGCTTGCTTGGTTAATTAGCCCATATTTTGATGTTACCTATTAAGTACTCTTTGGAAGGAAAGATTGGTTTGCAACTAAGGGGTTCTAGTAGTGCTATATGGCACTATGATAAGATTTGGTTATATATAGCTTGCATTTATTGAGCTAACTGCAGATTCGGTTGTTCTCATATGACCCTTGGAGTGATTTTTAAAGTTTTTTGGTATGTATCCTTTTGATATTGGGGCTGTTGAGTGTAAAAGATACTGATATGGAACTGCGACGTGGCTAAAGTGGAAGTGAACTATCAAGGCACAAGTACTAACAAAGTGGATAGTGGCTGCTCAACTGTAGGAGGCCAACTTGTGGGCTAGTTGTGGCGTATGGTGAATTATAAACGATATACACCTTATGATCTCCTTAATCCTAGTTCATTTTGGCATTCCCCTTTTGCATTGCTTTCAGTTTGAACTATATTACTAGTTGTAGGTGTAGAACACCAGATTTCATTGCCAGTATGTTCAAAAGATGGAAAAAAAAGAAGAAGAAAACCCTTCAGATATCATTTGAATGTCTAGTCAAAGAAAAATATGATCTTTATTAGCTTTGTCTCAGGGCTAGGCTTCTGTATGTTTAATTGCAAATATCGGTGCCCTTCATTCTCATTCTCCTCTAGGTGATTGGCATGTTTTCAAATTCAACACTATTATCCGAGGATTTATTGGACAACACAAGTGTTATGAGGCATTAATACTTGTTGAGGAAATGTTTCAAAGGGGTATTTTGGTTGATGCATCCAATTCTTCCTTGATCGTAGATATACTCTCAACTATAGGACAAGATCCTGCTCTCCGAGAAGTGATAAAGAAGTTCATGGCAAAAGATAGTCATGGAATGTGCATGATATTGCGTAAATTTCTTAAGCTATGAAGGTAATGCTACACCTATGAAACATGGACACGCCAGATTTCATGCCGTGGCGGTGTCTGACACGGGGACACGCCGGGGACATGTAGGATGGCGTGTCCCTTTAATTTAATTAATTTTTTTCCAGGGACACGGCGTATGGGACACGCCAGATGGCGTGTGCCTTTAATTTAATTATTTTTTTTTGCAGGGACACGCGAGTCCACCAAATATGGACACGTGTGTCCAAATCTGGACACAGAGAGCAAAAGAGAAGAGTGAAGGAGAAGAGCAAAGGTCAAGAGACAAACCTGGTCTTCGATCTAGTCGACTCGCCTGTCGACCTCCATCCAGTCGACCACCTTAAGTCTCTCTCTCTCTCTCTCTCGCCTGTCGACCTCCATCCATGACCTCGACCTTGACTCGCCTGTCGACCTCCATCCGTAAGTCTCTCTCTCTCTCTCTCTCGTCCCTCTCTCTTGCCTTCCCTCTCGCTCGCGTCTCTCGCTCTCGCTCTCGCTCTCGCATCGATCGCGTCAATCCGCTCGCGTCTCTCGCTCTCGCTCTCGCTCGCGTCTCTCGCTCTCGCTCTCGCTCGCGTCTCTCGCTCTCGCTCTCGCTCGCGTCTCTCGCTCTCGCTCTCGCTCGCGTCTCTCGCTCTCGCTCTCGCTCGCGTCTCTCGCTCTCGCTCTCGCTCGCGTCTCTCGCTCTCGCTCTCGCTCGCGTCTCTCGCTCTCGCTCTCGCTCGCGTCTCTCGCTCTCGCTCTCGCTCGCGTCTCTCGCTCTCGCTCTCGCTCGCGTCTCTCGCTCTCGCTCTCGCTCTCGCATCGATCGCGTCAATCGCTCTCTCTGCTCTGATTTGATCTGATTCATATAATATATATATATATATTTATTAGGTTTAATATTAATGTATCTATTAGGTATAATATATATATATATATATATGTATTTATTTAATATTAATAAAAAAACATATCTTATATCTTATATTTTATATAATATATATATATTAATAAAAAAAAAAGTAGATAAAATGAAATAAAAAATTAATAGAATCATATTTATTTAAAAATATAATAATTAAATAAAATAATTAACTTGTATTAAAATAAAAATATTTATATAAAAAAAAATTTGCCGTGTCCCCATTTTTTTAAAATTGTCGTGTCCCGTGTCTGTGTCCATGCTTCATAGTGCTACACACATATTAAATTATATATTATTAAGTGAAGCGCCTTTCTTTTTTCTTTTTCTTTTTTTGTTATGGATTGACATGGGCTTATGCATCTCCATCAACTATTTTGGACTTGTTGCTACATGACTTTGCAACATTATTTTCACATGTTGTAGATTCTTGTAGACTATTCGTTAGTTACCTCTCTCTCTGCAGGATTTTAATTCACATGTAACAAATTCAAGTAGATTCTTTTTCAGTCCCCACTGAATTATGTACAAGTGGTCATTTCTTAGGGATTTAGGACAAATGACAGCCAGTGGTACTTTTGGAGATTTCTTTCTTAGGTATATGGTCATCAACTAGTTCTCTGAAGGAGAATTTATGGTATTAGTAGTGTAGAAGATTAAATATCTCTGAATGTGGTGTTGGAAGAGGCATAACTGTTGTGGTATGGTAAATTGGTTACAAATTACAGCAATGGTTGGTCTTTGTGCTCTATCAGATGTATACAAAGCTTGAGAGGCTTTACATCATAGATAAGATTTTCATTGTTAAATGGAAGAAAAAAAATAAAAATAAAAAGATCAATGAATAAACCATTCAGAAGTTGATACTCTTCCCAGTAGTGGGTGAGGCAATTCTTGCATTGTTCGAATGCCTATTGTTTATTTATAATTTCCATTTATGTATCTTGTGCATAATGCTTCATAATTCTTTCACCCTGTCAAAAGTTTTGATTCCCCTCTTTTGAAGGTTCATATCGCCGCTGCTGCGCTAAGCAACCCCACACACATACGCCGGTGCTGACATAATTCAATGGCAACAGAAAATTCCTGTTGAATTGACAACTGTTCCTTTTCTTCTAAGCTATTTCAAATACAATATTATTTTTATCTTATTCTATTGGTATTTATTAGCACACTATATATTCTTGTGTTGATTGTGATGACTATCAGAAGTTCATTCATGTTTTTGCTCCAATTGAAGGTCATGTACTGGTAATTGACTTGATCAAATAGAGTGTCAGCATGCTCTACAAAGCTAAAGCAAAGGGCCCTTAAGGATCAGGTTTGGACTCATCGATCTAGTTTTAATTTGCACCCTCATTCTGATAATGGTGCAGGGACTTTGTTAAAGGACCCGGGTGCTGATTATGGAGATTATTCAAATCCTTGATGGAGTTTTAAAGGCTGTATCACCTTGGATTGGGAAGGATTCCTTATGGAATCAAGGAATTTGTGAAGTACCTGCAACTGCAGGAGCTTGATCTCTGCTGTTTGTTTCCTCATACAAGGCAACTGTAGCTTAATACCTCATCATTACATCCCAAGGGAAGCAGCCTTTTTCAGCACAACCAGCATCAAATTATTCTTATTTTTATTTGAGTAAATTACACATTGAGGTTTCTGACACTTTCAAATCTGTATTTAGAAATTTGATTTCTCTTTCTGCATAAATAAGAATCAAGTCTATGTATTTAGTAATTTGATTTTTCTTTCTGCAGGTAAGAACAGAGAGAATAAATTTCAATTCATATAATCTGATGAATTTACGACCGTTCCCTTTCTTCTAAACAATTCATATATTGTGGTATTTCCATATCATTCTTTTGATATTTATTGACATTCTTTGTATGTTTGCTTGTGCTGGTGACTATGATGATTATTAGTTCATGTGGTGTTGCTGCTGTAATTGAAGGGATGCATCGGTGGTTTATCAACTGCAGAAATATTCCATTATGCTAGGAAGAAAATTTGCACATTTAGCTGCAAATTTACCATCAGGGTTTGGTATTTCATTAGGTATGTTCTAGAGATGAATAAAAACCCTTCAGATTTCATTTGAATGTCTAGTCAATATGTGTCTAATTGTGAGAGTTTCCTTCGTAGTAGAGGTTTTGTGATGTAATAATGTTACGATTGGCTTAAAGGTAACGTTGCTGGCCACTTATCAAAAAAAAAGAAAGAAAGTGTGATCATTATTAGCCACCCTTTTGACTCAGACCTAGTGGACTTCATACTAAACTCCTGTATGTTTATTTGTAATTGCAGATAGGCTAGTCTTCTCCTTCATTCTCCCCCAGAAGATTGCCAAGTTCAATGCAAATGCTTACTTGATACATCATTAAATAATAAATATAGATGCAGCTACTGCCGGAAAACATACATCTATTTTGTGCAGGGAAGAGAGGTGAAATTGATGTTTCCAGGTTGATGTTGATAAAAGCTTTACGGCAACATCCTTCAACCGCTCCATCTTGTAAATAAACGTTCCCGGGTTTCTACACAAATAGGAGAACAAGCATTAATACTAAACTGATTGACCATCAATCAGAGGGTGCATGGGAGTAACTCAGACCTTTTGCATTTGCAATGATTCTAAATGTAACTATATTTTTCTTGGTAGAAACAATATATACTTGGTATTCTTATAGTCTCTGTACCCACTGAAGATTTGATCCACGCAGTTTACAGGCATATAGCATTACAAGTATGTTTTTTCCTAAACTGTTTGCAGCAAATTATGATCTCTTAAATGGTTCCTGGAGATTTTTTTCTCTTATTTTTGATGAGAGATTGCTTATCAGAATTTTCTTTTTATGAATTTCTTGTCAGTTTAGATTTTTAAAATTGGTGATGGAATTGTTGTTATGTCATTATCTATGTTATTCCATGCCTTCAAAGTTGCTTTAATGTTGACATGTCTGTCATTTTTTATTTTTGTTTTGGTGTTTGTGTGAATGAACCGTGGTTGTGCAAGACATATATCTTTGGAATAAACAGAAGAAAATCTTTTTGGGGACTTCCAAATGTTCCAAGTTTACTTTGTAGATTTTCATCAAAAATTGGTTTTGAGTTGAAGTTTCATTTGCTCAAATTAGTTTATTTTTTCAAATTTGGTATTTTCAATGATGGCAAACCAAAGAAATGTTACATCATTTTTTTATTTTTTATTTTTTACAATTTGGCCAGAATTTTGAAGCAATTTATGATGCATGAGGAAAAAAACCAAAAAGCAATTTATGTGGATTGGAGGGGTCTGATAACTTAGTTGATGAGTTGCTAATTTGTCTATTGTAGAGCACACGCTAGATTTAACCACACATTTACGATCTTAATGGGACTCATTTTTGTCAAGGGTATACTTTAACGGGAAATTTTATGGCGTGTACTTCTTTAGGGTATATACTAGGGGCATTTCCCTCAATAAGATAAAATACTGAATCAATTCTCAAACTAAGCTTAGTTTTGAAAGAATTCTCAAAATAGGTTAAATCGTGGTTCACAACCACGATTTCAACATATATGCGCCTGTCTCGCGTGGAATTTGGGAAGTCTTAAAATCGTGGTTACAAAATACGCTTTTGATTAAGAAATCGCGGTTAGAAAATGCGCTTTTAATTAATTTTTTTCTTCTAAACTCGCTGTTCTAAACCACGCTTTTAATTTTTCTTCTGAACTCGCTTTCTAAACCACGCTTTTATGAAAAAAAAAAAAATTCTTCTGAACTCGCTGTTTTGAACCACGCTTTTTGGCCAAAAATTTTTCTTCTGAACTCGTGGTTGTGAACCACGCTTTTAGCTTAAATTTTTTTTCTTCTGAAAGTGCGGTTCTGAACCACGCTTTTTGGCCAAAATTTTTTGTTCTGAACTCGTGGTTGTGAACCACACTTTTATCCTAAATTTTTTTTCTTCTGAAAGCGCGGTTCTGAACCATGCTTTTTGGCAAAAATTTTTTTTAGTTTCAATTTAACTGAACTCTGAAGAAGAATTTTTTTTTTTTGTTTATGTTGTCATTGTTTTGGTGATAATGTATTTCAGAATAATTTTTTTGGGTTAAAATTGTTTTACTAAAACCGTTCTCATGTTAATTTTTTTTCTTTTTATTTTGTCTTTATTTTGGGTTAGAATGTGTAATTCAGCCTTTTTTTTTTTGCTTGACTAAAGTAAATTTATTTTGTTTTTTATTGTGTTTGTTTTGGGTTAGAAGGTAATAACGTAATTCATAAATTTTTTGAGCTTTAGTAAAGCCGTTTGGATGTAAATTTTTTTTTATTTTATTTTTTGTTTGTTTTGGGTTAGAAGGTGTTATTCAGTAATTTGTTTGGGCTTTAATAAAGTCGTTTTCATTTAAATATATATATATATATATTTTCTTTTGTCTTTGTTTTGGGTTAGAAGGTGATAATGTAATTCATAAATTTCTTTTCGCTTTACTAAAGCCGTTTTCATGTAAATAATTTTTTTTTTCCTGTTGGCTTTGTTTTGGGTTAGAAGGTGATATTGTAATCCATAAATTTCTTTTCGCTTTACTAAAGTCATTTTCATGTAAAGTTTTTTATTTTTTATTTTTTTCTCTTGTCTTTGTTTTGGGTTGGAATGTGTTATTTAGAAATTTGTTTTGGCTTTACTAAAGCCGTTTTCATGTAAATAAATATTTTTTTTCCTGTTGTCTTTGTTTTGGGTTAGAAGGTGATAATGTAATCCATAAATTTCTTTTCGCTTTACTAAAGCCGTTTTCATGTAAAGTTTTTTGTTTTTTATTTTTTTCTCTTGTCTTTGTTTTGGGTTAGAATGTGTTATTCAGAAATTTGTTTTGGCTTTACTAAAGCCGTTTTCATGTAAATAATTTTGCGTTTTTCTGTTGTCTTTATTTTGGGTTAGAAGGTATATATGTAATTCAATAAAACCTTGAGGAAAAAACACATAAGTCTCCCACAAAAATACCATAGGTAGTACAGACATAAGTGTCTCGGACAACAATATATTGTGGACACTATGAACTGAACACACAATCATAGATAAACATAACATGTAGACACAGACACAAATATTTAGCCAGACAATCTGACAAACTCATATGGAAAACACTACTAACATAGACATTACAAATGAATGCGCAATGCCTTAGACCTAAACCTAATTCGCGCTTAAACGGTAGGTGGCTCAGATCTGAATAATCGAAAGCTCAGCGTCAGAGACAAGTTCAAATCCTCCATGATACCCTTGATAGCCGCATCATTTGATTCTGTTTTGTTCTTTCGGCATCTTCTTAACTATGATAGCTGCATATCGCGGGCTAACCTACGGCGCATTTGATAAATCTCACGTTGTAATCTTTCACATAGTCGATCAACATTATCAGAGATCTTCCTTTTGGATCTCAACAGAACGTGCTGCACCTTCAATCGATTTTCCCGACATAATCTTCATTTGGACTCACTCTATAAATAGCGGGCCATTCCAGAAGTCTAGCGTTTGCTAAACCATATCCTGTTGATTATCTGATGGTTCCTCACCAAACCACATGGATCTCGAGTACTTGGGCATGACAAAATGTCGGCTTCCCAAACCTATCATGATAAGCACAAAGAGACATCTAACAAAGTAAATGGCGTTTCATCTTCAGCATCGCCACTTCCCCTTCCCCCTCCTCGTCGTTGAACGTCACACCCCTTGCAAGTTCCTACCACCTCTGTGATTCCACTCCCTCCACCAAACCATGTAGCCATGCTAATTTTTTAAAACAAATAGAATGAATGATAATTTCGTAGGGCGAAATGAGTTGTAAGGTTGTGTCTTCACCTTTAGTCGTTTATTATAGTTGGTTTGAACAGCTTTAGAAGATGGCCCTGCATGACAATCCCCACATATACGGAACAAGGTATGAAGTTGTCACTAGAATGAAAACAGATAAAAGGAAATATTGTGTACCAAGCTCACGTGACTTGACAATCCACTACTGATCATATACAACAAATACGTAAGCATGCTCACGTAAGATATAAATCAGTTCACATTGCCAGACTTTCTGATATAGAAATCCACATATTAATAATAATGATTATCATGTAAATAAACCTAATACAAAAAATGTAGCAATAACCAAAGCCTATGCACCAAGTCACATTGACTTGACAATCCATCTGCAATATACCGACAAAATAAGGCATGCTCACTGTAAGGTAATCAGTGAATTCACTGTTGCCATTGTACTTTCTGAATGAGAATCCCACATGTTAATAACAAATGAGTTGTCACTGTAATAAAAAAAGAGCAAAAAATCGAGGAAAACCAAAGCGTATGCACCAAGTCACATGACTTGACAATCATCTACATATACCAACAAAATAAGGGCATGTTCACTGTAAGGTAAATCATGAATTCACGTGGCCATGTGTCTTTCTTGAGATTGAGAATCCCACATATATTAATAAGAAATGATTGTCACTGAATAAAAAAATCGAGCAAAAATCGAGAAAACCAAAGCCTATGCACCAAGTCACATGACTTGAGCAATCCATCTGCATATACGACAAAATAAGGGCATGCTCATGTAAGGTAAATCAGTGAATTCACTGTTGCCATGTGTCTTTCTGAATTGAGAATCCACATATATCAAATTGGTGTTTGAGTAAATCTGTTTGTGTATATTAATTGTAAATAGTGATTATTGACAAGCAACATCAAGTAAAACCAATTGGGTTTTAAATTTAGTTCCCAACGGACCAACCACTTGGCTTTGAGTTGTTTGTCCAGCCCCCAAGTTTAGTTATTTTGTCAACCCCCACATTCTTACCAGAGTATCATTTGACTGGACTTCCAGGAATTAGAAGGCGACTCTTTCTTTTTCTCGATGGAGATTGAAATTCCTTTACCTTCAGGATCCCTATTCTACAGAGCCCCAGTTAAGGAAGCTTTTCACCGAGCTACCTGTTCTGTTTTATGTGTTGTTCAAGGCGGTTGTTCGTTTGTATGAACTTTATTTAGTTCCCCAACTGGACCAACCATTTGGCTTTGAGCTTGTTTGTCTAGTCCTCCAAGTTTAGTTATCTGTCAACCCCCCATTCGTTACCAGAGTCATCATTTTGACTGGACTTCCAGGAATTGGAAGGTGACTCTTTCTTCTTTCCCGATGGAGATTGAAATTCTTTACGTACAGGATCCCTATTTCACAAGCCCCAGTTAAGGGAAGCTTTTCACTGAGCTACCTGTTCTGTTTTATGTGTTTTAAGTATTCACATAATTCAACATACATTAATCCATTCATTAATCTAGAACATTCATTAACTCATTGCAATTCAATAAAGAAAGTCATGAACTAATAAATGTGCAGTTATAAATGTAGTTATTTCATAAACTTCAGGTTCATAAAACAAATACTTGAAATACATCCGTACGTTAGATGAACAACAACATTGCCTTACACTCCAGTAACAAAGATATGAGACAACATACAAACATATATGAAAGATAAAGGTGTTTGATTTCTTATTCCACATCTAACATGTAGTAGTCAGAGAGATATTTTTCATTGTTAAGACATTATTTCGCTCAATCATTGTCAAATCTCTGTTGCTTGCTTCTGCCATTTCAGTGGCTAGCTGAAGCATGAAATGTCGACATCTCCGCATCAATATTCTATTGTTCCCCTTCTTAATTCTTCTAACTGCTTTTTCATAGTCACTCACATTTCGTCTAGCCATGGTCAATGAACGACGATGAGGTACCGATGCCCCAAAGTTACGTAGATCATTAAACAATCCTTCTTGCTCCGT